ATACTCTTCGTCTTCCTCACAAATACGCCCCTTTCTTTTATGTCTATCTCTCTAAAATTTCGATACTTCAAAAGGAACACATTTGTATTGTCACCCATATGACGATCCACAAACACACAGATAATCCTGAATGTTCCACTATTCTTGTTGACTGAAACATTTTGAGCACAGCTGTAAGGCTTTGACACTTCAACCAGAACTACCAAATTAACGAACGCAATCAGCAATGGTCAATTTGAACATGACTAACTTGGAGCGAAATGGGCCAGAACTGAATATAGCGGCTAATGGACATTTGGGTTCACTGGCAACCTGATCAACTTGGAGCACTTAGGCTCCATATCTGGCTAATTAACATTTGGTTTCATTAGGACTCTAGCTTTACGAACTTGATTGACGTCATTCACAATACCGGCTTGTGAAATCTGCATATGAAGCGTCACGGAATCGAAACGTTTTCTGGTCGTTCAGAATAAATTACCTTCAAACAATAACCCAACCCAAACCCTGGAGCAATCTTCTTTTTATTCGCTATTCAGACGTTTGCTTACGAATTACGGTCATCGATCATTTATTCTTGTGTTATGTTTTATGAACATGAAATGCATTTGGTGGTCACCGGCGGCTTGACTAGCCTTTCACAAAAAAGGAAAACAAAAACCTCTTGTTCGCCAAATTCCAGTTTCGTCGATAGGTATGCTTGATGAATTTCCATATCATCATAATTTGATTGAAATCGTCCACGTCTGACGAACGACTTTACCAGAATCCTAAACCCCTGCTAGTCGGAGCACTCAACCTACTTGGGTGGATTTTACTCAAACAGACGTATTTTATTTTAGTCTCCGTTACTATCATCAGGCCTGGTGGTCCAACCATCTACTCTACATGAGAAGAGCATTTTACTATTAATGTAATACCAACTATCCCATCAGTATCTACAAACAAATGACTCCAAGCGGTACTCAAAATCAATTATTCAAATGTCAGTGGAGACATTCCGTTTGAAATCCATGCAGAAAACGACAAGAAATCGCTGCGCGATTGACGGGAGGTGTGACGGTTTTTAACATCTTTGTACACACTACTTTTCTAATTCCATTATCTTACTTTTCTCATCTCTTCTTTCTCGTTTATTACTCAACGTTTAACAATTGTTTTACCCGGCCTCTTCATTTTCCGCTCGGTATCTTTGTGGTCTCGCTCTGTGATTTGCTCTATTGCTTGTTGTTCTGTAACTGGGACCTATGATTATGCCTTTGCATGCTTCAGGGGCTTCGTGAAATATACATTATTATTCTTATTATCATTCACCACCGGTTCTGCGCAGTTGCGCAGCACAAATATTTTGCTTCTTGCCAAGACCCCGTCGCCGACGATTTCTGTCTTCAAATCGTTTACTTCCTTCCTTAGTACCACCAAACTAGCCTCAGACTGTCTCTTCGTCGGCTTTGTCTTCTCCCCCTTTTGATGTTTGCTTTGGGCTACTCGTAGCCGGGGCGGGCTCACACTTGGGGTTTCCATAAGCGGTATTTCGGTAGAGCTGTTCCTGCCGAGAATTTGCGTCTTTTGTCTGTGGCCGATGGGAGCGAGCGCACCCTTCAGCAAAAGAGACGAGGCGTGTGCATGCCCATTTCAGAGTTTCGTGCTTAGTTTGCATTTGGTTTTCCTGTTTAGTTAGGGCCGAGCATTGCTGGTTGTACCAATCCTGACACCAATCGCACCGGATCCCAAACATCACGGCTTTCCCACAGGTCTTATTACCGCATGTATTAAGGTTATACTGGCAAGCCATTATGTACGTCCTTTCTTCACGAATAAGAATGAGTAAGTACTCTTATTGATAATCCTGTCGAAGAGTCTTGATTTGTCCTGCGTTTGAAATAATTGCCTGCTGCGGTTGACTTGAATACAGTGATCTTCTCAGGAAAGTTCGATGCTAATTCGGAACAATCCACCTAATTCGACTGATCTTACTCACGCCAAGGTCACAATGATGATGTCAAGATAGTGGGATCAGCCAGTCGGCAGCATTTGCAGGACGACCTACGTAGAGCAACGAAATGGGTAACAGTATGGGACCTCCCACTGAAAGCAGAGAAAAGTAAATTGCTTTCCCGTGCTGATGAACAATTGTCAATGGAAGTAGGTCAAGGGGATTTCACCACAGAGATTGTGAGAATTAGCAGAGACTTAGGAATATCGGTGGCGGTAGATTTCCACTGGGAGAACCAGTGTGTGCTAGCTGCGGCGAGGGCAAGAAGGGAGCTTTTCAGGCTCAAGTCGGTACTGTTGTGTAGAAAACCCGACGTATTCCTGCCTTGTACAAAGCCATAGTCAGGCCGCACTTGTAGTACTGCGTGAGGGCTTGAGCACGCATCTTCCAAAAGGATGCAAGCTGTTTAGAAAAAGTCATCGAGAGGAGAAATGAAGAGTGGAGTGCCCTAATGTTCTATGCTGGGACTATTGTTATGTTTGTTGTTCTCCAATGATCTATCGAACGAACTGGAAAATCCATGCTTTAAGATTGCGGAGGACATCAAGATAAACGGATCAGTAATGAACGACAGAATGGAAAGAGATTTAGATAAAATGTATCAGTGGTCGTTGGCACAGGATCTCCCTCTCAATGTGGCAAAATGCCAGCATCTCGTTGAGGAAAAAGAACCAAGGCCCATTCGCAATATGAGCCCTCCTGGGGATAAAAAGGAACTGAAGAGAACAACTGATGCTAGAGATCTTGGAGTGACAATATGGTC